CCCCCGCCCAGAAGGTACCTTGTCAGTGGAGCCTCATTTTCCTGTAAGTAGAGAAATAATATATTTGGATTTTTAGAAGTCTTTTCAGCTTCTCATAAACAAAGTGACACAATGGGCTACAAGGTGGGTACACAGTTGGCTGAAAAGCTCTTCTCAGAACAATTACTAGTGATTCACAGTCAAACCAGAAGGTTCTGTCAATTGGGATTCTGCCCTGGATTGCCAGAAAATATTAAATATTTTAATTAATGATTTAGATGATAGAATCTGCATGCAAAATTTCCAGATGACACCAACCAGGGGGAGGATGTAAACCCTCTGAGCACAGGATTAGAATTCAAAATTAATGTGATATATTGGAGAACTCATCTGAAATAAATATGATGCAGTTCATCAAGGACAAGTTCTAAATTGTAGTTCGGCAGGAATAATCAGCTGTGCAAATCAAAATGTAGAATAAGTGGTGAGACACCAGGTCTGCAGAAAGCAGATGGACAGTTGCAAGAGTTCAGGAAATGGCTATGAATCAATAATACCATGCCATGAATATGATGCGAGAATATACGGACAGGAGTCTGACTGCAAAATAATGTTTCCACTCTACTTGGCATTTGTGTGGCTGGTGTACTATTTCTGCTCTGAGCAGTGCTCTGTGGGCCTGTTGGAAGCATCCAGAGAAGAACAGAATAGATGGCCAGAGGTCTACACAATGTGACCCTTGGGAACTGAAAAAAAGGGTCTTTTTCAGACTAGAGTGATAACTCTCAAACTTTCTGAAGATTTTTTTCCTAGGTTCCCAGAAGCAGTGCAGATTTGTGTCAGGGCATGTCTGATACACTGAGCTGCATGACAAGATGTGGCTGTGACACAGCAGTGCTTTGGTGTGATGGTCAGGAGGACCTTCTCGCTTGTACACAATGTTCTAAACTTTCTGCATTGGCCATTCTCAGTGCCATGCCAGTGCTGAGATCACAGTGGTGGGGATTCTGGACAGCCAAGGTCTTTTTCTAACAGCAGCCACTTTCTTCACTAGTGTGTGTTTTGAGTGCTCGTTTAGGAGAACCAGTGCGGTTCTGAAGTCTGCTCTCCATCACTGGGGAGTGTGTGGCACAGGGACATCCAGGATCATCAAAGGATAATGGGAACACTGTAGGATGGATTAGGAATCAGTGTATGAAGCCTCCTGACCTTGCAAGGTCAGCTTAGGTTCATCAGGATTTTATTAACTCCATCTCAGCACAAGCTCTGTCAGACCTGGGCTGACTCAGAGGCGTTTCTGCCCTGTGACCTTC